TGCCCATTTGACATGCGTCACAAATGTGATCTTTTTCAAACTTTAGTTTTGGCAGACCAATGACTAGTTCGAGTCTAGAAAGTTTTTCAAAAAGAATGCATACTTGCGTGTCCAAGATTTTGATGCCATAGCCAAGGATCGCTTGAGACTGCCGTAAGATAAGTGAGAGATGGAAAATCAACATTATTTAAAACATATATATTATTGACTAGATCTCTAATAAGAGTTAGCTTCTCAGGATGTTTGATGATACAGCTGGTTGTGTTGAAAGTGACTTGAAATCTAGCATCACATAGTTGCACTACCAAAAAAACCTACAAATATCGACCTCCGGAGATCGGTATTCCCTGAAATACCGACCTAAAAACGACATCCCAGCTTAGGTCGGAAAAAGCTTGGTCGCTATTCAATACCAACCTCTGGAGGTCGGTATTTACTGACCTCTTGAGGTCAGTTTTTATTTTAAGTCGGAAAATTAATTATTTTATTTTCTGACTTCCTGAGGTCAGTTTTATATATTTGTTTATTTTATTATTTACGACTTCCTGAGGTCAGAATATTTAGTTCTCATATTTTGGAATACCGACATTCGGATATCAGTATTTGTTAATTTTTTTTATTTTTAATTTAATATTTTCGGCCTCTAATTTTTAAATTCCGACCTCTGGAGGTCGGTATTTTTATTTTTCATTTTTGAGATTCTGACCTTCGGAGGTCAGTATTCTTATTTTATTAGTTTTGAGATTCTGACCTCCGGAGGTCGGTGTTTTTATTTTTGTATTTTTGAAATTCCGACCTCTGGAGGTCGGTATTTTTATTTTTGTATTTTTGAAAGTCTGACCTCTGTCGGTATTTTTATTTTTTTATTTTTGAAATTTTGACCTCCGAAGGTTGGTATTTTTATTTTTGTATTTTTTAAATTCTGACCTCCGGAGGTCGGTATTTTTATTTTTTAGTTCTGGAATTCTGACCTCTGGAGGTCAATGTTTTTATTTTTTATTTTTGAAATTCTGACCTCCGGAGGTCGGTATTTTTATTTTTTTATTTTTGAAATTCTGACCTCTGGAGGTCGATTTTCTGCTACAAAACTAGCAGCAAATTGTTGCAATTTTAGTTGCCCACCTGCATATTTATACCAAAACAACCCAAAGAATTCCAAATAAACTTCGTCCAACCAAAACAACCCAATATTTTCAACATATACATTAAACTATTTCAAAATAAACTTCATCCAACTTCAAAATAAACTAAAATATGATCAAACAATTCCAAAAATATAGTAGTCTAAAATGTCAAATAGATACAACTACTCCTCATCACCCTCACTCTCTTTATCCGACTTGCCATTCTCATCTCCCTCACTCTCCTTATCAGACTTATCATTCTCATCACCCTCCTAATCAGATCCATCACAGCTGACCGGACATGGATGAAGAATATTTCCTAATTCAAAAAGAACAGTTAGTTGGGCCTGAAGCTCTGCATACCTCTTGGAAATAATTATGCTCGGTAGATCTACTACTTTCACCGACAACAAAGTTGTTATACATAGTGTCACTTTCAACCTCACCATGACTAGTCCAAATTGTAACCTAATCAATCTTGAAGTTAAAAAATCATCAAGTGTCTTTGCATGATTTATAAATCTAGTGACACCTTCTGCGAATTCTGGAATCATACCCGCTCGACCAGGATTGTTTCTATTATACATCCAACTACAATCAGGATCCATCTACACAAACAATAATGATAATTTTAATTCCAACAGCTAAATAACATTTGAACTTATTTAAACAACTGAACAACTTTCTAAGTCTAACTAGTTTTGACATATTTATTTTAACTTATTGAAACAACTTTTTAACTTTAATTAGTTTAGTTTCGACTTAATTCCAACAACTAAATACACCAACTAAACGACATTATTTATTTTAACTTATTTAAACAACTTTAACTAGTTTAGTTTTGACTTAATTCCAACAACTAAATCCACCAACGAAACAACATTATTTATTTTAACTTATTTAAACAACTTAACAACTTTAACTAGTTTAGTTTTGACTTAATTCCAACAACTAAATCCACCAACTAAACCACAATATTTATTTTAACTTATTTAAACAACTTAACAACTTTTTAACTTTAACTAGTTTAGTTTTGACTTAATTCCAACAACTAAATCCACCAACTAAAAGACATTATTTATTTTAACTTATTTAAACAACTTAACAACTTTAACTAGTTTAATTTTGACTTAATTCCAACAACTAAATTCACTAACTAAACCACATTATTTATTTTAACTTATTTAAAACAACTTAACAACTTTAAATAGTTTAGTTTTGACTTAATTCCAACAACTAAATCCACCAACTAAACCACATTATTTATTTTAACTTAACCAAACAACTTAATAGCTTCTTAACTTTAACTAATTTAGTTTTTACTTAATTCCAACAACTAAATCCACCAACAAAACCACATTATTTATCTTAGCTTATTTAAACAACTTAACAACTTTCACTAATTTAGTTTTGACTTAATTCCAACAACTAAATTCACTAAATAAACCACATTATCTATTTTAACTTATTTAAAAAGTTAACAACTTTTTAACTTTAACTAGTTTAGTTTTGACTTAATTCCAACAACTAAATCCACCAACTAAACCACATTATTTATCTTAACTTATTTAAACAACTTAACAACTTTCACTAGTTTAGTTTTTACTTAATTCCAATAACTAAATCCACCAACTAAACCACATTATTTATTTTAACTTATTTAAACAACTTAACAACTTTTTAACTTTAACTACATTAGTTTTGACTTAATTCCAACAACTAAATCCACCAACTAAACCACATTTTTATCTTAACTTATTTAAACAACTTAACAACTTTCACTAATTTAGTTTTGACTTAATTCCAACAACTAAATCCACCAACTAAACCACATTTTTATCTTAACTTATTTAAACAACTTAACAACTTTCACTAATTTAGTTTTGACTTAATTCCAACAACTAAATTCACCAACTAAACCACATTATTTATTTTAACTTATTTAAATAACTTAACAACTTTTTAAACCTTAATTACATTAGTTTTGACTTAATTCCAACAACTAAATTCACTAACTAAACCACATTATTCATTTTAACTTACTTAAAGCTAAGTGTCAACACTAGATGGACATAAATCGATCTTGCAAGAAAATCAATTTTGTCATCAATAGGATCAACTAGTGTTGGTACTTATGCTTAACAAATATATTATTTCTAAATTTAAAGCTAAGTATCAACACTAGATGGACACAAATCGATTTTGCAAGAAAATCAATTTTGTCATCAATAGGATCAACTAGTGTTGGTACTTATGCTTAACAAATATATTATTTCTAAATTTAAAGTTAAGTGTCAACACTAGATGGACACAAATTGATCTTGCAAGAAAATCAATTTTGTCATCAATAGGATCAACTAGTGTTGGTACTTATGCTTAACAAACACATTATTCCTAAATTAAAGCCAAGTGTCAACACTAGATGGACACAAATCGATTTTGCAAGAAAATCAATTTTGTCATCAATAGGATCAACTAGTGTTGGTACTTATGCTTAACAAATATATTATTTCTAAATTTAAAGTTAAGTGTCAACACTAGATGGACACAAATTGATCTTGCAAGAAAATCAATTTTGTCATCAATAGGATCAACTAGTGTTGGTACTTATGCTTAACAAACACATTATTCCTAAATTAAAGCCAAGTGTCAACACTAGATGGACACAAATCGATTTTGCAAGAAAATCAATTTTGTCATCAATAGGATCAACTAGTGTTGGTACTTATGCTTAACAAATATATTATTCCTAAATTTAAAGCTAAGTGTCAACACTAGATGGACACAAATTGATCTTGCAAGAAAATCAATTTTGTCATCAATAGGATCAACTAGTGTTGGTACTTATGCTTAACAACCACATTATTCCTAAATTAAAGCCAAGTGTCAACACTAGATGGACACAAATCGATCTTGCAAGAAAATCAATTTTGTCATCAATAGGATCAACTAGTGTTGGTACTTATGCTTAACAAACACATTATTCCTAAATTAAAGCCAAGTGTCAACACTAGATGGACACAAATCGATCTTGCAAGAAAATCAATTTTGTCATCAATAGGATCAACTAGTGTTGGTACTTATGCTTAACAAACACTCGATGGACACAAACAAATTATCACAAAATTTAAACTAAGTATCAATACAAGATGGACACAAACACATTATAAAAAGAAATTGTACTTGTATCAACTTTTTTTTTATGTTGAGCTTCCTCATATATTGAGAGAGAGTTCGAGTTTATAGCATTATTACAAACCGAATGAACGAATAATAAACAACGACATACAATATTAAAATAAACATCTTTAACTAAAGTGAGCCTGGACACTCAATCCAAGTGACTTTTCTCATTTTCCGGGAGAGAAAAAAGGATCTTGCTAACATCAAGAAATGATTGTTTCATCATGTTATCATCCAACAGCAAAAAGAGAGTTCTTTTACCGGAACAGTTAAAAGAGTATAAGAAACAGGTTTTAAATGTTGTCGAGGGTTTATCCGAAACAAGTTCTCTACCTTGTAGGGGTAAGGTCTGTGTATACACTACCTTTCCCAGACCGCACTCTTAGAATTACAACGGGTATATTGTTGTTGTTGTTGTTAAAGATTATAAGAAGCAGACTTTACAACTTAGCATTTATTTGCGAGGAAACATAATGTCTTACTAAATTCATTTTCCTGGAAGTTTGTTGATGAGGTTTTACATAATAAATGAACTATAAGCATATTTTATTTTATTTTGGATTATTCAAAGGGAACAATTGGTGTTCTCTTGGTTTTAGAGACCTCAACAAAATAATGCCAAAGAACAGACACACAGTACATAAAACTAGAAAAGTGAGGCAAACTAATTTAAAGTTACCATGGAACTTGAGATGCAACTTTTGGGTTGCTAAAAATTTGAGCAACTTTATGGTGTTTGTTTGTAGGAATTGGCTCTCCAGTTGGTGTGTAGGCATCACAGATAACCTGTTTCAATTTAGACAAACAATATAGCGAAACTTATAACCAATGAGATTAAAGATTCAGTAAAACATCATGAATCAATATTGTTACTAAACAACTCACCAAGATGTTGTTACCACCACAGAAAGGGTCTTTGAATATTGCCTGAGGACTGAGGTTAAATGATCAAGGTTAGCTTTAGAACGGGGAAAAATGAAAGGAAGAATTTTTTTAAAAATAAAATAAGGAATAAAAGAAAGAAAGGAAAATTCTTCGAAAAAGAAAAGAAAAAAAATCAGTTGCTGATCTTACTATAAAATGACTTCACTGTCTTCTCCTGGTTCTTGTCCAGTACTTGATCCATCGTAGTTCCACTTTGGGAGCTCAGAAGCATCCTTGACTGGTTTTGAAATAGTCTGAAAATTCAAAAGGAAGCAATCAAGAAAAAATACATGAGATAATCCAAATTCAGTTTCCTAAACTTTTGTTGGTTAATTAGAGAAGCAGCATTATGTAACCTTGATTTACTGCACATGTCAATTCCCGAAATTTGCAGCTACGGCTGGCCAGAGAAGAGAGGAGGCAGAGGTAGGCAGATGTTGTCCGTTTGGAGCTGCATCATTTTCCCAGCGTTGCTTGCTGCTGAACGGAGTTGCTGTTTCGCTGGAATGAGAGAAGAGATGAGGCACCGGAGCTGTTGTCCTCGCGGTACACTGCTGCTGGTGGTTGATTCTTCGCCGGAGAAAGGAGGGGAAACAAGAAAGAGGCTCATTGGTCAGCGCTGGTCCTCGCGTTGCTGTTGTTTCTTCCTTGCGCCGGCCAGATCGACTGGCTTGTCGTTCGCCGCTCGCCGGCGTTCGCTAGTGGCTGTCGGAGTTCGCATCGCTGGGTGCTGCTGTTGCTCGCCTTTGTCCTCATCGTTGTTGGCTGCTGGCCGGAGCTATTGGAGACGAGAGAGGCCTCGCTGCGGCTGCTCTTTTTTGAGAGGAGGAAAAGAATGAACAATTTTTAAGGGTTTGGGTCTTTTAGATTGAAATAGGAAAGTGGGGAAGATTCAATCTGGCCATTGATTAGATGAAGATATGGACTAGGATTTGATCTCGAATTTTGATAGATGGTTGAGATTAAATGGAAATTAGAGTCTTGAAAAAAAATTGAGACAAGAATAGGCTAAATTTGAAATCAACAAGTGGCTATAATTGAAATAAGAATTTGAATTGAAGTGGCTAGAATTGAAACAAATTGAATAAGAAAGGACTAGAATTGAAATACAATCGAATATATTAGGCTACGAGTTAAATGATTTAAGAGAAGATTAAGGAGATGTTATTCAATTAATAAAATATTACACATATTAAAAAATTTTCATATAATTAAACACACCTAAATTTTAAAAACATTTAAATAAATAAGTAAAGTAATTATTTCGAGTTTTAACTATCGATAAATATAATAATTTAATAATAATTTTTATAAATTATTGCATACTAAAATATATAATTTTTAGTCAAAATCGATTACAATTTTAAACCCGAAATATGTTTTGAAAATACGTTTTAATCGAATAGCACTTCCGAAAGGGTTGTTAGATTGATCAAATTGGGTGTCAACAAATATCACAAAATCATCACTCACCGAATGAGGTCGATATATATATATATAAATTTAATTTTATCGATCAATTTAATTTTATAAATTTAAATTATATACCTCCTAATTATATAAATTTAATTTTATCGATCAACAAAAGTTTATCAATATCAAATTTATAGATAAATCTCCTTGAAATGATCATTGATAATGAATTTCATATCTGAACCACTAATATATAAGACTTGATTTGTTAACCTACTCGAGGAGTATATAATCAACGTATTTCATACTCCGATGAGTTATCTTTTACTCGGAAGTTGGTATTATAAATTTTTTGTTTTTTATTTTACACAAAATCGTCCTCCGGAAGAAGATTTAAATAAAATTAAATCAAAATAATTAAAGCGACATCCGGAGGTTGGTATTTTTAGTTCATCTAATTACTTTTAATTAAAGCGACATCCGGAGGTCGATTTGTTTAAATTTTCATTTTACACCTATAATCAATTGTTTAAAAAATTGTATACTTTTATAAATAGAAAGTTAGATCAATAATCCATATTTAGAGTATGAAATTACGTTGATATGAAAACCGACAACAAGTAGTCGGTTTTTATGCAAAATAAAGGGTAAACCAAATTCCGACCTCAGGAGGTCGGAATTTTTCCCAAAAAAATGAACTACAATAGAAATCGACCTCTTAATGTCGGTATTATTTTCTCAATTAAATATAAAAAAATACTGACCTCATGAAGTCGGTATTTTATATATATATATAAATTTAATTTAACTACACATCAACAGAAGTTTAATTTAATAAATTTAATTTTATTGATCAAGTTAATTTTATATTTTAAAATTATATACCTCCTAATTTTATAAATTTAATTTTATTGATCAACAAATTAAAGTTTATCAATATCAAATTTAATATATAAATCTCCTTGAATTGATCATCGGTATTTATTTAATTGATAATGTATTTCATATCTGAACCACTAATATATAAGACTTGATTTGTTAAACTACTCAAGGAGTATATAATTAATCAACGCATTTCATACTCCGATGAATTATCATTTACATGTCATCATAATTATATAAATATAAAATTTATAATTAATTGTTATCATGACATTACTACGAATATTATCTCGCATTTCATACTCGAATGAATTATATGTTAGCTCTTCACCTCTACATCATGACATGAGATATTAAGTTCATCATTTGACGACGGACTGATAGAATTTGTACATTACTCTAGAAATATAAGTATAATTATCTCCTAATTCATATCAACGTAGTTTCATACTCTAAATATGGATTATAGATATTTTTTTATTTATTCCACGAATTATAACTTTTTATTTATAAAAGTATACAAAATTGTTACACTTTCTGAATAATTAATTGTAGGTGTAAAATGAAATTTTAGTATTATGCACAATAGCAAAATTATGATTATTAATAGGAGTATTTTAAACAAACCGACCTCCGGATGTCGCTTTTATTAAAAGTAATTTGATTTAATAAAAAATACCGACCTCATGAGGTCGGTATCACATTAAATTTATTAATTTATTACATACTATTTAATTTTACTGACTTCCGGAAGTCGGTATTATAATTTTTTTGTTTTTTATTTTACACAAAATCGTCCTCCGAAAGACGATTTAAATAAAAGTAAATCAAAATAATTAAAGCGACATCCGGAGGTCGATAATTTTATTTCATCTAATTACTTTTAATTAAAGCGACATCCAGAGGTCGGTTTGTTTAAATTTTCATTTTACACCTATAATTAATTGTTTAAAAAATTGTATACTTTTATAAATAGAAAGTTAGATCAATAATCCATATTTAGAGTATGAAATTACGTTGATATGAAAACCGACAACAAATAGTTGGTTTTTATGAAATTACGTTGATACGGAAGTCGGTATTATAATTTTTTTTGTTTTTTATTTTACACCAAAATCTAAAATATTTCTCAATTTTGTTTTTATATTTAATTGAGAAAAAATAAAATATTGTTATTTATTTATTTGTTTAATACCGACATCAAGAGGTCGGTTTTTATTGTAATACATTTTTTCCGGGAAAAATTCCGACCTCCAGAGGTCAAAATTTTGTTATTTTGCATAAAAACCGACTTCTTGTAAATACCGACCTTTGGAGGTCGGAAATTACCGACCTACATTTGAGGTCGGAAATTTTAGGTCGGTATTCACTATTTTTTTAGTAGTGTTGACTAATGCTGAGGAGGTTATGCTTGAGTCCCTCAACCAGATATATTTTGACTAGGTCACATGACGAACTAAGTGTAATGGTTCCAACTCCGGTTACTTCCCCTTCAGCATTGTCTCCAAATCTGACATATCCTCAATCTATTCCTTTTATAGTTTTGAAGTTTTCTTTCTTTTCGCACATATGTCTGGAGCATCCACTGTCAAGTACCCACATTCCATTTTTGTAGGTTTTCTTAGATTGCTCCTGCAAAACAGTAAGATTAGTTTCTTTTAGGTACCCAAGTATTTTTGGGTCCTTGATGATTAGTAAATTTCGATCTCCAAATCCATTTTTCAGAAGAATATTTTCTACAGTTGAAAGATTTGTGACCAAGATCACCGCAATTGAAACAAGTAATTTTCGTAGAATTTTCAGGAGAATAGAAATTAGAAATAGATCTATTTGATCTGTTAGAACTATGATTAGAAGAGTTTCTTCTATGAAGCATAGTTCTGTTAGATCGGACAAAACTATGACTTGGAGATTTTCTGATGATGTTCAACTGCATTTTGACTTCCTCTAGTTCTTCTATTAGTAAGTCGACTTCAATCTGACTTGCTTCGAGAAGAATCTGTCAATCTTTCTTTTCTTGAGCAATTTTAATGTATTCGTCATAGTTCATCATCAACCACGCCCAAGTAATTTTGTAAGTCATTACAGTTAAGACAGTTAAAAGATCTTACCTCACTTGTTTCACCTAGTGCCATGAAACATAGATTTGCCATTTCATCATCGTCATCGTCGGTTGCTTCACCTTGATCCCATGCTTCAAGACTCTTAGGATCTTCGTTTCTTCGATTGTTTCTTTTTCTCCGTTCTGGGCAGTTTTGTTTGATGTGTCCTGGTTTTCCGCAGTAATAGTATCGATCATCATTCCTTTTGAAGTCATTGTTATTGAAGTCCTGTTGAGTTTTCTGTCTTCTATGTGTAAGCATTTGTCGTACTCCTCGATTAATAAAAGACATTCATTCATCTTGATCTTCATCAAGTTCTTCTACAATTTTAGATGTTTCAGCTGTAAATGCCAGAGTCTTCTTTTTATCATCCTTGTTGTACTTGTTAATATGATTTTGTTCATAGGCCATTAGGTTGCCTTGAAGTTCATCGTATGTCATTTTCTGCAGATCTCCATCTTCAAGAATGGCAACTTTAGTTTCCCAAGCCTTGGGAAGACTTCTAACGAGTTTCCTGACTTGTAATGCATTTGAACACCATTACAAGAGATTTGAGTTCGCTGACAATTTTACTGAATCTCGAGAACATAGATTCAATGTTCTCATCTTCGGCCATTTTGAACAACTCATATTCATTTACAAGTGAACTGATCTGAACTTCATTTACTTTGGTGGTTCCTTCATACGTCACTTCTAGTTTGTCCCACATTTCTTTCGCAGTTTCACATGTTGATATTTTGTCATATTCGGCTCCACTCATTGCACAATATAACAAACTTATAGCTCTAACATTAGTTTGAATTACCTCTTGTTGTTCCTTAGTGATGTCAAATGATTCAGGATCAAATGACTTTTCAGTGCCATTTTTTTTTTTAGTCAATCCAGGAATAGGCTTTGGGCCCTTC